TTTAAGTATGAAAACAGCCATAAGTCACTATTGCTGTTGTAACTTCAAATGGTAACTAAATGAACTATTGTTAAATCGATGACTACCTGTAGATTATTTATTTTTTTTAGAAGTGTGTCTCAGTCATCCAGGTCATGGTTGTCCCAAAAGTGCTTTTTCTGGAGGCAACTTGACTTTCTTGTTTTTTTCTTTTATTTTTTAGAATTACCCTAATTCAAGTATTACAGCAAGCTATCATTGAATTGGAAGATGTCTGGTCCAGTCAGGGCAGAAATCCAAATTAAAGCTTCTACTACAAATGTCTACTTTCTGCTTAATTTCACCCAGTGAAGGGAAGCCCATCACCTGTCACTATCAAACCTATTACAATAATAGGCAAGGTTTTATTTTCTTGCCACTTAATTGGAATAAGTTTCCTGTAATTTGAATTCATTATTACATATCGTGCATTCTTGTATGAATAGGGAATAGCTGTAATGTCCTTTTCAGCTACTTGAAGAATGTCTCATATCCTTACAAAGTCATATTTTCCTAAGGCTAAACATACCCAGTTCATTCAATAATTCTTAATATGTCTTAATTTCTAGTCCCTTGTTCTTTTTCTGTGCACAAAACTAGACATTGTACTAAAGATGGAGTCTGATCAAAGCATAATAAAGTGGAGGGATTAAAAGCAGCCCAAAATCGCATGGGTGTGTTGTTGTTTTTATTACAACCATCTTGTACTGAAGTCCCATTGAATCCTTTTACTCTGTCCATCTGAGGAGTTCAGTCCATTGTTCCCTTCTGCCCGTCTTTAGTTTCTTTGCTCAAAGCCAAGAAACACAAAATTTAAGATGTAAAAAAGGTAACTATACAAACATAGGATTCTTGATGAGGAAGACTTGAGGGTGTTTTGTTGTTGGTTTTGAAACACTTCCTTTAAACGTGTCCAAACATGCAAAGGGATAGTTTTTAAAAAATGCAGATGTAGAAGGACAAAACAAAACAAACAAAAAACTTTCCAAAGGCAACAATCACAAACTGTAAAATTGTGAATCTGATTCTAATGTTAATTTTATGGATTATATTGTATACTACCCAGAACCCCTCTCTGGGTAGTATACAATATACTACCCAGGTTGGGAGGTAGTTAAGAAATACAAAAAAATAAACAAACAAAAATTTTCCATAGTTGTTGATCTGTTGAATAAAATCTTAGATTTCAAAGTGTGTGCAGATTTTTTCCAGAGATAATGGTTTGAGAGCCACCATTGGGAGATTGTTTCCTAGTTATGACACAGCATAATTTCATTTATGGGAATTTGGTGGTGTTTGAATTCCAAGCATGATGAAGCAAAACTATTTATTCTTCATTCGCAATAGTTTGCTAATTTTTCATTTCTGTTTGCCAAAATTTAATTTCCACTGGTGCTCTTACGTAGATGGCATACTTTGTTTGCTTGTTGTAATAGCACATTGCATCCTGGATGATAAGGAGCACTTTTATAATAGAGTTAAGACCTCATTTTAATGCCAGTGACTTCTCTTAATGATCTTCAGAATTTGTGCAGCTCTAAAGCATTGTACATTACTTTTAATAGATATTTCACTTTTTATATCACATAAGAAATTCAGGTTTGGTCATTTCAAAATAGAACAGCAAATCCACAGGGATATATCAAATTGTATTATGTTACTTTAAAAATACTATCCAAATCTTACTTTTTTTCTGGCCATACCACCACACATTTACATTTTTATTTTTTATTTATGCCAACTTCCTTCCAAATAGCTCATAATAATCTTAAAGAAGCAATTTTATTTTAACAGGCTTTTAAGGTATCTCTTTTCAACCTTGTAGCTCCAGGATGTGTTGGAACTGAAACTCTTCAGTATTTCCAGTTTGTACCAATTGCCAAGCTGTAGGTTGTAGAGAACTCTGCTATAAAGCTGGGGGGGGGGGGGGAAGGACTCTTATTTATCTCCTTCAGTATATTTCGGAAACAAACATTTGTATCTGGGAATGTCAGATCAAAATCAGCAATGCATAGAGTTGACTTTTACATTATTAACATTTAGTATAAGAGAACCTTCTCCAGGAAATTGATTTTGACATTTCTGAGGTTTTTAATTGTGGTTATGGTTTAGATTAGAAAGGGGCAACATAAAATCTACCAGGCCACCATTAAGGAGATGATGATGATGCAATCAAAACAATGCATAATGTACAGAACAATAATAAAAAGGGGTTATTTAAGGCTTATATAATGAAAGAAATAAAAGGATCTCTCCTAATGATTGGACTTGCAATCTAAAAAGAGCTGAAACCCCATATTCATCCATTTTAAATATTATCCAACCTTTTAAAATATTTGTTTTCATTTTAAAATTAAGAAAGGCAATTATCTTCAATTCCAAGATAGTATATTTCTTAGTTGCCTGCATTAATGCCTATATATTACATTTGTCTTCTGTATCTCCTGTTGCAACAATACAGGCAGTCCTTAACTTGAGCCCAACATTTCTGTTGCTAAGTAAGATGTTAACTGAGTTTTGCCCCATTTTATGACTTTTCTTGCCCTGGTTGTTAAGCGAATCACTGCAGTTGTTAAGCTAGTAACACAGTTGTTAAATGAACCTAGCTTCCCCGCTGATTTTGCTTGTCAGAAGGTTGCAAAGAGTGATCACATAACCCCAGGCAATGCAACTCATAAATATGAGTCAGTTGCCAAGCGCCTGAATTTCAGCATAATCTAAATTATGCTGCAATGTGTGAAAAATGGCCATAAGTCCTTTTTTTTCAGTACTATTGTAATTTTGAACGGTCACTAAATGAACTGTTGTAAGTCAAGGACTACCTGTATTACTAATTTTACAGATGTCATACCTGGATCTGAAGAGTTTTTTTAAAAAAATCTAGACTTTAAAAATTGTTGAAAATGGGAAGTGGAAAGATGAAGCTGCAGGACAGTATCCTCAAACAGAAACATGTGGTGATTATCTAAGAAGTTACTTTATTTTATCAGGAAGCTTGGAGTAAAATGTTAAGTCATTGTAATACAATAATACAATAGTAGAGTTGGAAGGGACCTTGGAGGTCTTCTAGTCCAACCCCCTGCCTAGGCAGG